ATGTATGTATGTATGTGTATATGTGAATACTCTCCGTATTGAACTACGGCTTTGTATATCGTAAAACTAGTAGGCACAGTCAATATTGAGAGACTGCTGCGTTCAGCAAACAAGCAAGCAATTGCATTGACCTTCTACTAGATTGTATATGGATCCATACATATGCACATATACTTATTTGTTAATACATAAATAGGTAGGTTGTTTGTTCAAATTTTAAATGACCAGGGCACAGTAACCGAACAGCTTTTTGTTTACATTTACCAAATATCACCATTTCCAAAATAGATTACCAAAAATCAATCATCATTTCTCACTCCCCCTTGAGCCTGAAGTTCCGAACTTCAATGTATTTGAATTCACACGGAGTCTAGAAAGAGAAGAGAAGAGACTAACAGTCACACATCTTTATATGACCACCTCTTTAAGGTGTCTACCTCTTTATAGGTCCAATTTCTATTTTGGCCAACCCCCTATATATGAGTCAGGTCTTTTTAGGCCGGTCCTGCAGCCTGCTCTTGGAGGTTTTCATGTGTGAATATTCACCTTTCACCTCAGCTTGACGGTAGCTTTATCTATAATACATACACTAGAGTACGTACTACAATAGATCCCTGATGGGAGACACTCCTAGTGGTGAACGCTGTTGTGCGAAAGGATGCACTACAACGCACCCAGTGGGTGGTGTACACAAATGTGCTGGTTGCGATCGAGGTATGCATGCCTTTTGTGGCGTACATCTTGGTGAGGGGTATAGCTCAAATTCAATCGGTTACTGCCTGTCTACAGATAAATGCCAGCCACCGAATGACATGTGGGAGTCTGGTTTCACTAATAACAAACAGACAGAGCCAGACGAATTGACACAAAACGCACCTACAACGAGTGAACCAGGCGGATCGAACCCACAGTCGACGCCCAAGCAGGATGTATCGTCTGGTATGAAAGGAGTATCTAGTATGACAATAGATAAGCTCACTGTTGGTAAGAAGAAGAAAACATATAAACAAACTGTATTATAAAAGGTGAGCTCCAATACAACAAAAAGAATCAATCTAACAAACAAATATAAAGGTGTCATCGTGCGTACAATCTAGAAAGCGGAATACAGCTTACACCTATCATGGAAAGACAACTTCGTAGGGGATAAGAAGGTTCATGGAGTCCGGAGAGAAGATACTCAGTCAGTCTTATGAGGTACATGTAAAAAAGAAATATCGAGAAAGGAGAGGAACACATCACGAGCTCGAGAAGCGTTTGATTGAGTGGTTCAGTAAGGTTAGAGAAGCTGGTTTTAGTGTAAGTCAGGGCTTGATCGTCACGAAAGGGAAGGAGTATTTAATGAGAGCGCCTAGAAACCTCCCGGTGTGACCCATACTCCCATAGGTTGGACCCGAACCTGATGGTGTGAAACTGACCCAGACTTGTCTTACCTCTTTATATGTCCAAATATTTGCCAATCTCGGGAGCTGGACATATAAAGAGGTATGACTGTATTTACTTTGGTTTTTTCTAAATTTTTTATAACAAAAACATAAAGAGTCATCATGTTTTTTATTTTGACAAAAAATATATGGAGAAGTTCTTATCCACTGTTCGATCATAGCCCTCTAAAATACAGAGTTCGATCCCCTATATTTTGTTGATTTTTTAAAAAGTCTTCTTCTCTTTCTCTAGAGGGTCAGGATACACTTGAACAACTTCCAGTATAAAATACAGAGAATGTCGTATCCATTTGAACGACAGCTATAACGTTAACTCCTTGCCAATGGCAGCGGAGAGTCCCATAGTGGGATTATAGGGCAGGACAGATTAGGTTTATGTTACAGCCAAAGTTCAACTATTCAGGGAGAGTATACGCCACACGGCCCGGGTATATTTTATCATAAGTCGTGGGTTCAGCTTTTGTATGCAAGGTTGTATATCACTTGTAGATACGTTAATTCTGATTTCTGTTATATAATACCACCCGTGCTATCCACATGGCGATCATCAGATCAGGTATTCCGCATATCATCGAGGCTGAGATGACCAAGGATTACTGAGTAAGCGGTTGAGAAAATAACGAACATACTATTCTATGATAATCTAGACGTTTGCTAGAAAGCTTCTCGTGAACACGTCTTTGACTACTACACGCGCTAAACCAAGTCAAAAGGATGTAACATATATACAGCCTTGCCTTCCTCCTGGAAGTTAGCACGAATCTATCGAAGCGGACTACTAACAGGGTGATATTGTCGTCTGTGTGGACACTCGTGCTCAAGCCAAGTAACGCAAGGTCGTATCGTGAACTCAACCATGCTCAAGCCAGATACAGGCGAAGATTATTAATTAAAAAAATTAATATATATATATATACATATTTATCATATATGCTTATAAATACTAAATAGTCGAAGAATACAGATCCTTCAGCGATGCGTGACTTCAGATCAATCGACAGTCTCGTAACCATCATTATCCACTTTAGCCGCGGCCCAGGTAGTTCGGCCAGCCCACTCAGTCTTCATCACAGCCGTCTTAACAGCCGCATACACGCATACAAGCACACAGATAGCGTTGAGTGCCTGGATATACTGAGCAAGCACGTATTCTCCAGGTACACCCTGGGCGTGTTTGTGCTGGATGGCTGTGAGAGCCCAGACAGCTACTAAGGGAGTGAAGACATTGCCAGTGTTGAATACCGTGTGCAGGCAGTACCATACTAGTCCCAGAGTGGCAAACATTGCGAATAGAGGTGCGTTTCGGTCCAGTTCTTCCTGAGTCGAGTGCGCGTGCATGTACACTAGCGACTGGACACACCATGCTGTGGGTAACGGATTGGGGGATAAACGAACAACGTTAATGCTTCTGAAAATTGCAAAGAAGGGGTAGCTATGCACCAGCGTGTGAAAGATGGCAATCATCGCATTGCGCATACATACTAATAAACAATGCAAGATTGTATATATAATGCTCACAAATAGATGCTCTCCGGATGTGTTAGGTTCGATGGCTCACACTCGTGACAGGAATACGAAACGCGAAACAACCCGAGAAGATACTGGTCTGCAGGTCTTGATAGGGTAATTAAAACGTGCGTAGTAAGTCTGAATATACATCTGAATGGAAGTAAATGAAACAACTATTACAACCTAATTCAATATACATAAAAAACGTGAGAGATATGATACATACACAAATACACGCGCACACACATATATGTATACAAATAAATACAAACATCAATCAATATATATATATATATATATATATGCATGTTTAGACATATATACATATATATATATGTGT